CTATAGACGAGCTTGTATGGGGGCTAATCCTTAATGAGTCTTAATTGAAGTAATGTTATTCTAATATACCCCGGTAGGTGATGACAGATATACTTAAATAAATATCCTTTGTCTGGGAGATGGGATCTTGATACCTTAGGCTAGCAACCATCTAAAAAAAGCTTTAACTGAAACTACTGATATTTTATATATGCATTTTACCTAATGATAATTATTACTTGCTAAACTATAATTATATGAAATGATGTATAAATATTACACCATGATAACTCATAAAAGCACTTGATGTAGATCTAATTATTATAAGATAACTTAGTATAAATGTTATCCCAGGATACCCGGATTCTCCACCAAATTATCATGGAACTGTTCTGGGTGAACAGTACCTTCCAAATGACGTGCTGGTTTTCTTGGGGAATTAGTCAGCAAAGAGCCAGAGTCACAGGAGACTAATCACAATTTTATTTACAAGAACAATTAACAATTTACAATATACTTAGATAATAACTGAGGGTGCCACAGAGAGTCGGTACACACTCTGGGCTGTGGGAGAGAGGTCTGCTTGGTAAGAGAGTCAAACCCCTTCTCTGCTTAAAACCTGCCTACAGTATGTATTTAACAAAAATTTAAACAATAGAAAGGAATGTGATTGGTTGATACACGATTGGTTGTGTCCTAAGCTAAATGGATGGCTAGACAGAGGGGAATACTAAATCCTGTTTATCCTGTTGGACTGGCACTAATCTTGTTGACATATTTACTGGATGCTTTGAAAGAGATTAGGGTGTCACTATAGATGAGCTTGTGTGGGGGCTAATCCTTAATGCCCTATAGACGAGCTTGTATGGGGGCTAATCCTTAATGAGTCTTAATTGAAGTAATGTTATTCTAATATACCCCGGTAGGTGATGACAGATATACTTAAATAAATATCCTTTGTCTGGGAGATGGGATCTTGATACCTTAGGCTAGCAACCATCTAAAAAAAGCTTTAACTGAAACTACTGATATTTTATATATGCATTTTACCTAATGATAATTATTACTTGCTAAACTATAATTATATGAAATGATGTATAAATATTACACCATGATAACTCATAAAAGCACTTGATGTAGATCTAATTATTATAAGATAACTTAGTATAAATGTTATCCCATGATAGCTGTATGATTAGAAATCACATTCCGACTGTCACTTTCATGATCTGCTAAGCGACGCTCTGATTGGTCGGATGAAAGGTCGTTCTGACGTGAACCCTAATGGGATGTCCTCAGATCTTTGTTTAGCGGTAGCGAGAACAAAGATCTGATTTTAATGAGATTGGTGGGGGATGTCAGCAATATTTAGAACAGCCTTAAGACCAATCTCTTGGAAATCAAGTGAAGCTTGCCACATGTTGCGGCAGCGAGAACTAAGATCTGATTTTAATGAGATTGCACCCCCCCCTTACATAACATTATTTCATGGCCCCTCCCTCCCAAATACATGTAACACTTTCCCATGACTCCCTCCATCCTTTAATAAATGACCAGTCCCTAAATGAGTAAATCCATAAATAATGTTGAAATATTATTTTTTTATTTGGAAAAAACCCAGAACTGTGTCATTTGTTCATGCCCCTCCCTCCCAGTTGTGACTGATTTTGGTGACGTCATGTTTTTACTGACATTTGCTTCACACAAGGGGCCAAATGTCAGCCCCTGAGTAGGTCTAGAAAAAATATACCGTATTCGACGTAATAAACGCCCCACTCTACTAGGCGCCCACAGCGATATTTGCTAATATATTTGCTAGTGAACAATCCCAGTTAGCACCCTTTTCGATTGATCATTGTCCACAAGACTTATTTATTCATGTATAATACGCACTCGTTTGTTATATGCACCTTTAATTATGGGCAATTAAATTCTCGAAAATATATCTATCGTGTATAATACACACAGATTCTTCTTTTATATCATTTCAGGCTGTCAGCATAAACCACAAAATTTACAATCTTTCAACCTTGTTTTTAATCTCCCCCCAAAAATATTCTAAAAAGAGCCCCCTATTTCTAATTTTGAGAGCACCCTGGGCGCTTATTACGTCGAATACAGTAGCTACCATTTTGTGACCTTATGATCCATGCTACAGGATGGATATATAGATATATATCACAACAAAACTGTCGTGATATAACATAGCATACAGTCATACACATATCATATCTCAAGTAACTATCAACATACATTTCGTATGACAAGCATATTGTCAGATTATCACAACGTACCATATCACTAACAAACTAACAAGAGACATCACATCGTTGACAAACTAACAAGAGACATCACATCGTTGACAAACTAACAACATGAGCAAGATATGTCCACACAGCAAGCTGTCTAAGACGATATATGCACAAACTGTTTATCAAGATATACATGTAGCAACCTGCCTATCAAGATATATATACAGCTTGCTGTTTATCAAGATATACACACACAGAAATCTGTCTATCAAGATATACACACAGCTTGCTGTTTATCAAGATATACACACAGAGAAATCTGTCTATCAAGATATACACACAGCTAGCTGTCTGTCAAGATATACATACAGCAAGCTGTTTATCAAGATATACACACAGAGAAATCTGTCTATCAAGATATACACACAGCTAGCTGTCTGTCAAGATATACATACAGCAAGCTGTTTATCAAGATATACACACAGAGAAATCTGTCTATCAAGATATACACACAGCTAGCTGTCTGTCAAGATATACATACAGCAAGCTGTTTATCAAGATATACACACAGAGAAATCTGTCTATCAAGATATACACACAGCTAGCTGTCTGTCAAGATATACATACAGCAAGCTGTTTATCAAGATATACACACACAGAAATCTGTCTATCAAGATATACACACAGCTAGCCGTCTATCAAGATATACATACAGCAAGCTGTTTATCAAGATATACACACAACAAGCTGTCCGTCAAGATATATACACCAAGCTGTTTATCAAGATATGAGAACAACAAGCTGTCTATCAAGATACAATATCGAGAGCCACCATCACAATGGAAATCGTATTGAGGCATTTTGTATCATTTAACTCAGTATTCTAAATCAACGGGTACTGGGGTCCTAAAACTTTGCTGCTAAAGTATGTGATCTTGTGAGGGGATAGAAAAGTTGTTTATTATGACTTTATGTGCACCAAGGCACTCATACAAAATGTTCACGTGTGTCCTTTGGTGTTCAAGGGTGCCAAAGGGAATACTTAAAAAAAACAACAACACTGAAATAGGAGTTTGTCCAGTCTACTTGAACAAAAGGAAAATTATCACAGGCTTTATACAGTCAAGTCCCGTTAATCCGACATTATTGGTTGCATATGATTATGTCGGATTAACGAGGATGTCGGAAAAACGAAATTAGGTATTATCAACGTTCGTGTTCGAAAATTGGACAACTACACGATAGATAATGATTCAAACATGTTGTAATAAAAAAAGGAAAAAGGAAATATTCATATTGTTGCGTTACATTGTTCGCGGAATATGTTTTCTAATCATGCAACCTCTAAAGTTTAACACAAAACACAAAGTTTATCTCTGCAGCCGTTTAAATATGCAGCTACTCGCCGACTCGTCTCGCATCAAAACACGGGGCTATGTACTCGCGGGCAGATGACGATGGAGTACGCTGATCACCGTGTCGGATTAACAAGACTGATTAATGAGTGATTTCAGCAATTCGTTGCAAATTTTAGGTGTGTCAGAGTCGGAGTGCGAGACTGTCGGATTAACGGGTCTAAATAGCACTGATTTAATCGGTTCCCATCATTTGTGTCGGATAAAGGTGATTGTCGGATTAACAAGTGTCGGATAAACGAGACTTGACCGTACTTAAAAAAAAAATAAAAACACTGAAATAGGAGTTTGTCCAGTCTACTTGAACAAAAGGAAAATTATCACAGGCTTTATATAATAAATATCCCCATTTTCCCCAATTGCCTGCAAAGAGCACTTTGTTTAGAATCCTGGACAATAAGTTCCCTGTGCCTAGATGATCCAGAAAAGACATCTAGCTTTAGTGACATGAAATTCGCTGAGTTCGATGAAGGATAAACATTATTATTCTTGCTGCCACACTTTAATTCTAAAGGAGACACCAATATCTTTATAAGTACCCTGTGGCCCATTTGAAGAAAAAAATCTATCCCTGCCTTGACTTCAAAGCTTAACAATGACCAGTCCTACGACCGTCCTCCACAACGTTAAGTCTGTGGCCACGCACTAGCCTTAGTGATGAGTTCGATGGAGGATCAAAATTATTATTCTTGCTGCCACACTTTAATTCTAAAGACGACACCTAAACATCTTCATGATCGCCCTGTGGCATATTTTAAAAAAATAAAAATTCTTTCCCTGCCTTGACTTCAAAGCTTAACAATGACCAGTCCTATGACCGACCGTACGATGAAGGATAAACATTATTATTCTTGCTGCCACACTTTAATCATGTTAATTCTAAAGGAGACACCTAAACATCTCTATAAGTACCCCGTGGCACATTTGAAAAAAAAATCTATCCCTGCCTTGACTTCAAAGCTTAACACAATCTCATTAAAATCAGACCTTAGCTCTCGCTACCGCTAAACAAAGATCTGAAGACATCCCATTACGGGTCATGTCAGACCGACCTTGTGCGAACTTTGACCGACCAAAAGAATGACCAATCGGAAGGCAGCTTTCTTGTGCTTTACGGCACTGATTTCAAATTGGCGACTACGCTTCGAAACATCATTTGACAAATTCTCGATTACAAATTTGAAACCTAAACAAAAGAACATTCTGGAATGGCTAATAGATGGTCTAGATTGTATGGATTCAGTCGTTAAACCTGTAACTATCATTCGGAATACCCCGTGTAAAAGTTTTCGAGGTTGTACGATTAGAAACCACATTCCGACTGTCACTTTTATGATCTGGTAAGCGGCGCTCTCATTGGTCGGATGAAAGGTTGTTCTGACGTGACCCCTAATGGGATGTCTTCAGATCTTTGCCTAGCGGTAGCGAGAACTAAGGTCTGATTTAAATGAGATTGAAGCTTAACAATGACCACTCCTACAAGTGTCCTCTACAACGTCATGTCTGCGGCCATGCAGCATCCACCTGTTTCTTCACATGGCCACCCATGTGTTTCCTCAGCCTGTCCTTCCTCATGAACCTCTCCCCACATATATCACACTCATGGGGGCGTTCCCCAGTGTGGATCCGAGTGTGTCTCACCAGACCATTGGACAAAGCAAAGCTCTTGTCACAGATCTTGCACTTGTAGGGTTTTTCGCCCGTGTGGGTTCGCACATGATCTCGGAGCTTGCCCGACGAGGTGAAGGTCTTGTCGCACATCTCACAGGCATATGGGCGTTCTCCCGTGTGCACTCGGAGGTGGACGACCAGTGAGGATGGGCTCGAGAAGGCTACACCACAGACGTCACACATGTGAGGTTTTTCTCCTGTGTGGATCCGTCTGTGCGCGATCATCGACGCTTTCTCGATGAAAGTCTGCTTGCAAATGTCACATTCAAAAGAGCGGATGTTGTTATGTATTTTCAAATGTTTCGACAAGTTTGCCGATTGGCTGAAAAACTTGCCACAAACCTCACAGCCGAATGGCTTTTCTCCAGTGTGAACTCTCTGGTGAACTTTGAGATAGTCGAAACAAGTGAAGTGTTTGTTGCATTGGTCACAGCTGTACCGCTTATCCTCGCAATCCCGCTGCAGATGAAATTCCAGCAGATATGCTTTCAAAAATTTCTTTTTACATCGATGACACTCGTGGGACTTCTGATACGCATGGACTTTCTGATGCTTTATCAAATCCTCCTCGTTTGAAAAACAGAACTTGCATTTATCACAAGCAAATTTATTTTCTTCCGTGTGGGTCCTAGAGTGAGCAGCAAGAGACAGTTTGACACTGTAGGCCTTGTCACAGATCTCACATTTAAAAGGCCTCTCCCCTGTGTGGGCGCGCATGTGGACTTTGATATTGGCCCGTTGGTAGAACCCTTTCCCACAGATTTTACAATGGAAGGGACGGTATTCAGCGTGGATCCTTTCATGCATGGACAGTGTGTATTTGGAAGAAAACACTTTGGGACATTGGCTGCACTTGAGGTAGTGGGTCTTGGTGCCCTCATGACGACTCATGTGCTCCTTCAAGCTGGCCTCGTCGACAAACGAGCCGTCACATATATGACATTTCAAGGGCTGTTTCTGTTTGGCGTCAACCTTTGTGTACGCCTTCCAGTTAAAGATCTTTGTAAGTGCGTTTTTTCTCCTGTTAGTCATAAGGTTCCTCCTGTATTCCGAGGTCCACGATTTCTGTTGGTAACCTTCGTGTTTTGTCTTTTTCCGTGGAACCTCTCCACCAATGGCAGCTTTAGTGAAAGTTTTTCCTCGGTCTGTAAACTGCCTCGGCATGACCTGGTGGCAGAAGTCGGAAGCGCTCTCAAAGTCTGCCTTACTGGATATCGACATTTCATGATTATCATCGGCCAGTGGGTCATCAGGTTCATCGTCTGGGTGATCAAGGTATACCTCGGGAGAGACTGGTTCAATGTTGTGTGTGTTCTGAGTTTCCTCCTCTGTTTGAAATGATGGATGTTCCTCGGTTCCTCTCAAAGATGAATGGTCCTCAGTACCCATCAGTGAATGTTCTTCGGTGCTGATCAATGCTGACTGTACTTCTGTTGCATGAGACTCGGCGAACGCTAGACTCAATTTCTCCCATTCTCCATCAGATATATCAGTATCGTCGCTATCTGCTGACCAGACATCAACCGATTTGAATTCGTCACCCGAACAAACTTCTGTTTTCACCTTTGTGGACAACTCTCCTTCGTTGAAATCACCGAAAACGGGTTGACCGACATCCTTTTCTGAATCTCTGCTGTCGATCAACGCCATGACCATAACGCCCAGCTCGCTGTCTTTGGAGCCCTTAACACACATCACATCATTAACACTGACATTACCCCAGTCCTGTTCACACGGATTCTCCCCAGGGAGTCCAGCACTATCTCTCAAAACAGGTTTACTGGTGTTCACATCAGATCCATACGCATCAATTTGGTCAATGGCTTCAGAACCATCTCGGTCTGCATAATCTCCAGTCTCATTTTCGTTCAAATGTAAATTGGATATTGGACCAGTTTGGTCTACTGGGAATTCAAGACCCGAGCTAGCCACGGATCTGTCAATGGTGTCAATGGCATATTTAGTAGAAGTTTTCTCACAAGAAGAATACACCACACGATCTGATGAAGTCTTGTGTGAGTATATCGTTGTATTCGTTGTTATGTAGGCATTTTTCTCAAGTCCATCAGAACATGACTCTTCTTGAATCGCTCCACACACAGCTGTAGCCTTTGTTGAAAAACCTTGACCGACGTCCTTGTTTCCATACACAGGCAAGATGTTCTTGTTTCGTACATCTGTTCTATAAATCCTATGAAACTTTTGAAGATGTCTCACAGCTGTTTTTCTTTCCACAAACAGTTTGAAGCACAAGCCGCACCTATACGCCAGTTCACCAGTACGTCGGCAAACACTGTCCTTGACCTTCTTGAACTCATCACATTCCTTCCCACTGTCCTTGACCTTCAGACCAGGGTGTGCTCGCATGTGCATGTGTAGGAAGGGCAAGGCAACGAACCGCTGGCCACAGATTTCACACACGTACGGAGTGCTGCCCTTGTGGGAGCGAACGTGAACCTTCAGTGTGGCCTGGTTATAGAATACAGCCCCACATCCCTCGCACGGCCATGTCCTCCGGGTCTGACGAACACGGAATCTGATCATCGTGGGAACACCTGCAGATTGTTGTGGATCAAACGTGATTCTGCTGAATATGTTATCTTCTCTGATCAGTTGTGTGATGTGATAGGACTATCATTTTTTAAGAACACTAACATCTCGTGGATCCAGATGACTGTATGACATTTTACTGGTAGGTAGGACATGAATCACAAACACCAACATGTCTGGTGGTACTGGTCAAGAAAGTCAGGTTCATCAACAGGACACTGATTCAGACGGACAGTCTGGCCTGATTCCCCTGCAATGAAAAACAAAATATAAGACTTGGAATAGAAATGCATTTCATGTGTGCCATATATTATTCAAAATGATGTCATCTTCCTGAGGCAAGGGAGTTAACTGACTTAAAAGTCCAGTTTCCACCCTTGCCGAACTAGGCTGGAATTCCTGGGCTCGATCGTAGCGCCACCAGTGGCTGTTACAAATTAAGTCCCTTCTATGCCTCTCCTATGGACCAATCAGATTCCACCTCTCGTATCAATTGCATTTGCTTCAAACAAAATGGTGGTGCTTAGCCAGGACGATCTGATCGATAATCAAGATCTATATCGTGATAAAATGGGTCTTACATCGCGAAATGCATCAAATCACGTGAGCACATTGATTAAAAACATGAAAGGATTTGGAAAATATCTGTTGACAATAAGTTGGCGGTGCACATGCTTTGCAAATCTGCAATCGATCAAAATCTGCACGACAGTTCACAAACCGGATTTTGATTTCGGTGCACGATTTTGATTGGACTATGCATAGACTCGTTAGTCCAGACAAAATGTAACTCCATAATATCAGCCTAATTCGGCAAGGGTGGAAACTGGACTTTTATAGTCAGTTTACTCTCTTGCCTCAGGAAGATGAATGATGTTTACGTGTGCCATTGCGAATTTAAAAGAGGGCAACAAGTCAAGCACAGTGTTTGTTTGTTATTGTTTAACGCTGCACTCAGCATTATTCCAGCTATACGACTGCAGTCTGTAAATAATTAAGTCTGGATCAGACTATCCAGTGATTGACATCATGCGCATTGATCTACGCAATTGGGATACGGTGACATGCATCAACCAATTCAGCGAGCCTGACCACCTGATCCCGTTAGTCGCCTCTTACGGCAAGCATAGTCGCCTCTTACGGCAAGCATGGGTTGTTGAAGACTCTATTCTACCCCGGATCTTCACGGGTATGAAGGACAGTGTGAATCAAAGATGGCTGCACTTAGGTTTTAGAAAAAGGAAATAATTCTTGTGAGTTGTGACGTCACCATTGTTCTAAGGGATCGACCATTAGATATTCTGGGCCTGTGATTTTGGATTCAGATTTTACATTTTTTCAGCTTCAGCTGCAAAACCAGATATAGATTTACCTAAAACCATGAGCTTGAAATCGAGTGGATATTTTTAAAGAAAAACACCTTGTAACCATGTACTTTTTGTGGGAGGCAATATCTTTTCATTTTTTTCAAGAATTTGGGGGGACGATTTACCTTTTTGGATAAATACCAGGCTTCCCCAGAGTATGAAACGGTCAGTCCCTAGCGGTGTATTATTTTCCAGGAAAATTTTAAGCCAAATAACTGAAACGCTCTGTCAACTCTATTGTCATCGCTCATCTCAAAGAGCGATGTGTTCATCATGTGCATCAGGTTTTGTACCCACGACCTGTTTCATTTCTGTAGTTAGTTTTTTTTTGCTTGTTGGTGCCTTGTCAACATTGACTTATTAATGTCAAGAAGGCCCACAAAAGTGTGTATCTGTGAAAATTATCATAGTTTTCATGAATACACACTTTTGAGTAGGGATCCATTAGGGCTGGGAGGATACACACTTTTGAGTAGGGATCCATTAGGGCTGGGAGGATACACACTTTTGAGTAGGGATCCATTAGGGCTGGGAGGATACACACTTTTGAGTAGGGATCCATTAGGGCTGGGAGGATACACAAATTGTGTGATTCGATATGTATCACGATACCTTGTTCACGATCCGCTATACAGTGGAACAGTTATAGTCCACTAGTCCTTACAATGATAACATATAGCAAAACCTATAAAAATGGCAAATTTCTACTGGTCCGTATGATACCTTAACTATTGGGCAGTTTGGCAAGGATTACAAAACTAGTGCCAATTTCTAATGCTGGATACGTATCACGATATTTGCTTGTGCTCTTGTCTGTGGTCATGGTGGTGCGAACGCCATCATTTTCATAGACAGGATATAATATAATATAATGATATAATAGTCAAATACCTGGCACACTGTATGGCGCAAAGGATGAAAATATTTACTTTTTCACTGCTAATTTTCATTACTAATCAGTGTTTGATGTAACAGCCATTAAAGTAAACATTTAAGGTATGAATCAATATTTTTTACTTAGAGTGTGATTGTGATCGATGCTTGAATCGCGAAGTAAATTATCACTATCCACCAATGCATTGTCTTTGTCCGTTCATTGTCCGGTCACTGTCTGATATCTGTTAGATCGCATCCGTGAGAATCAGGACGCTGTCGGGACATATTTGGTAGTTTTTTACTATGCGGAAGATACAAATCGGATCAGATTCGGATTAAGAACGGGAGAATCGGGACAAATTCGGCTGGAAACGGCTGAATCGGGACGCTTCCTGAACAATATCTGATTGTTTGTGAATTTCCCGCCACAAATCACAGGATCTTGATCAGACTTTTGACAAATCTTAATCGTGAATGGTCCTATCAATGACGGCAGTAAAAATCCTGAATGTGTGACTGAACCCTTAGTCCGTCAATATATTTTTTTTAAATCCAGCATATCAATCGTAAGATATAAATGCAGTATGAATATCACAAATATTCCAACAAGATGTAGTTTCACAACCAACATATAATATAAATTAAGCCATAAATTTTGATACTTAAAAATCAAGAATATGTCATTTTTTACAAATTCAAGGCTTTTCAAGCTATTTTGGTGATTTTAAAGGCTTTTCAATTTTGACACTAAAAATCAAGGCTTTTCAAGAGGGACCTTAAAATTCAAAGCCTTTTCAAGCCTGTATGAACGTTGGACTATCCCCCGATACGATATGTATACTCAATTCGTGGCAATTATGTGAGAAAATATACACATTTCTTATCGCATATTTACAAAGGCTTGAAACTTCTTAAATATCTGGTCTAGTATTTGAAAAGAGAAATGTCTCATTTAAATCAATATTACATATTTTAGATAAAACTTGAGTGTCAACACCAGTTAGAAAAGACCAGAACAGAATTTAAGTCTTTAAACTGTTTACAGTGTACAATGTAGATAAAACATAAATTAATAATGCTAAATGCTAACAAAGTTATTCCATTGCCGGTTAATTTTGCCACGTGCGAAACAACCAAGGATTAAAATATGATTGGTTTGTGGTTTTACGCCGCACTCAGCAATATTCAAGCTATATGACGGCGGTCTGTAAATAATCCAGTCTGGACCAGACAATTCAGTGATTGACATCATGAGCATCGATCCATGCAATTGGGATATGATGACATGCATCAACTAAGTCAGCGAGCCTGACCATGTGATCCCGTTAGTCATCTCTTACGAGCATAGTCACCTTTTACCACAAGCATGGGTTGTTGAAGACCTATTCTACCTCAGATCTTCACGGGTCTGGTGAATCGTAACAGCCCTACTTTTGGTCTTTCTTCATGATGTGGTATTTGGGGGGGCAGAGTTGCGACCCTTTGGCACGCCAGAAACCTATGATTGTGGGTTCGAATCCGGCTTAGCCCCGATTATGTTTCTAGGTTTGTCAGCACCATACCCGTGCTTGTGGGTTTCACCGAAGTGGTAAACCTCTGAGACCTGCATCACTTCAGGCTTTCCTCCTACATTAAGCTGACACGCCGCGATATAACTGGAATACTGTTAAAAGCGACGTTAAACCCAACTCACTCCTTGGGCAAGTGACTTTGTTCGAAATGTGCCTCTGTTCACCCAGCAGTGAGTGGGTACCAGGTAGGATGAGATGGCAATGTGGCTGTTAACCTTCTAGTGCCTTACAGGCAGCTTGGGTTGTATACTCCCCAGGGAGCTGAGAATGACTGTCGAGTGCATACTGATCTAGTGACCGTGGTAATAATAGCGCTTTGAGCATGCCCCTAAGTGGTGTGGAAATATACGCAATATAAATAGCCCATTCTTATTATTACCTCATTTGAGGGATTTATCCAGGATTCTAAACTAAGTGCCCTTGGCAGGCAATTTGACATAAAATAATTATTTTGCTCCAATTGGTCAGTGATATACAAGTCACCTCTACAAAGAGTGAGTGAGTGAGTTGGGTTTAACGCCGCTTTTAACAGTATTCCAGTTATATCGCGGCGTGTCAGCTTGATGTGGGAGGAAAGCCTGAAGTGATGCAGGTCTCAGACGCTTACTACTTCGGTGAAACAAGGGACGCAACTCTGGGACTCTGGGACGCGAATCGCGGCGCCTTAGACGACTGGGCCACCCGCACCCCCTCTACAAAGACATAACATCAGTTAATTACTATATATATGCAGCGGTAGAAATAGCCACGACAGTCCTTGCCGAACTGCAAAATAGTTAAGGTATCGTAAGGACTTGTAGACATTTGCCATTTTTAAGGGGTTTTGCTACATGTTATCATTATAAGGACCAGTGGACTAAAACTGTTAGTTTCTACTGCTGTATTTGAATGTATATATCATAAGTCATCGTACCATTTATGAATGAAGTAATTGTCCGTCATTTCCTAAAAAATGTATGAAAAAAAACAACCAGTGTCTACAATGGTCTACCCCCCCATCAAAGTTGTGACTAAAATGGTCATAAATGCGACCTTAATTTCAATTTGAATACTGTCTAAAATTCAGAGGTAGCCAAATGGCGACTATATTCTATTGCTTCACATATTTAGACACAAAAATAAACATGTCTGCTACAAATTGTACTCGCAAATAATTCCTCCTAACGTCAACAATAAACCGAAATACATATATATATTAATGTAATTAGTATTTTATTTGAGTTGATAGTTTATTGGATAAGCAAGGATATACCTATATAATCTAGTAACATAAATTGCAAACTTGTTCGTGTCACAAATAACAAAACTCAAGTACAGTTTCCACTAACATACAATAATAGTTATTTGATAAAAGATGATTAAAAAATGCTTTTGGCTACCTACACTATTGGCTTGACTTCTGAATTTTACCACTGGCTACTTGGAAAAAATACTTG